CTGTTTGTTTAACAGGTTCTTACTTGCCTTTTTGGAACTCAGGTTTCTTGTTATTACCCCTGTTTTAAATAGGGGTGTTTTCAGTTTTATATTCTCCTTTTCTGGTGTTTTCGTGGATGGTATAAGTAAACATTTTGCATAACGTGTGAGAGATTCATTTGGATAAACAGAAATATCTGTTTGAACCCCACACGTCTTTGTAGACTTCAAAGCAGCTGCAAATGTCTTCTGTTTCAAGCGGACACTTGAAGTGACCATGCGCCGAGCCTCTGGATATGATATGTTGTTAACTGTTTTTATGCGCTGAATCTCTCTCTCTTTGCCATGCAGGGCATTTCCGAGAGTAGGCAGGATGGGCATCCTTGCAGTTTACACAGCATGCAGTGTTGGTACACTCAGTACTCTGGTGGCCTTCAACTCCACACTGTGCACATAAACCTTTGCCTCGACATGATGTTTGGGGACGTCCAAACGCTGGCATTTGAAACAACGCAGCGGATTCGGAATATATGAACAAACAGTACAGCGCAAATATCCTGCGGTAAGAAAAAATGGTAATGTTGGTTTATTGAATGTGATAATTAAATGTTTTGTAGGGATTATCTTGCCATCTCGACAAACGCAGATGCATCTTACAGCAGTAACTCTTTGATCTGAAAAGCCGATCTAAATATCTGATTCGTCCTCAGACATCAGATTGATTTCAGATATCACACCACGTGATGAGTTCAAGCTTATGTGTGGTGTGATAGTGACTGGTATGTCTCCTAGAGATTTCATTTTCAATAGTTTTTCTGACTGTTGAGGAAAGGCTGCTTCTACTAGCAGATCTCCTGACCTTAACTTTTGAATTTTTTTAAGATGCCCAATGGTTGATTCAAAAAGTTTTTGAATCAGAAAGGGGGAACGTTTAGATAAAGGTGTTTCTCCTCTGGCATGCACAATGAGATATGATGGTTGGTTAGAGGAACTAACCTCCTTTGGTGAAGCATTAGTACATGTTTGTTTATTCTTTAATGAATCCATATTTAGAAAATATTATTCATCTCCTAGTGACCCCATCCACCACGGTGCTCAACTAGGGAATGCCGTCACATGGGAGAGTCCCATAGCCTCTCCCATGTGACGAGGGTTTCCCAGGAGCTATACCCTCACAATGCAGTCAAGAAGAGCACATCTTGTCTGACGTGTCCGCCCGGTCTGCATCGATCAATTGACTCCAAGCCAAGGTCAAGAATGACTGAACAACCAGCCAATTGACTCAAACGGAGCATGATTTGAGCCTCCCGTTTATCCGAAGCAGGGGCAAAAGCAGTGTATTGAGGACGTTATGTTGCCCCTCAACTACCAAAATCCCCCTTTCTGGCATACGGGACACCACGCACAGCAAACACGTGGGTGGGCGTTCAGGTCCCATAGATGGTAAAGACTTACTAAACCATCTCTGGGAGCTCCCCTCACCACAGACAGGAACCCACACCGAGGGGAAAACAGATTCGGAATTGCTAATGTTAGATAAATGGCAGTGAACGTTCTTGATGGGGCATGGAAGTATGTCTCTTCTCCAGTATTGAATAGATACAGTTGATGATTACCTATAAATCTCTCAATGGCTCTGCCTCGACGATTGATGTCGGGACTGCTCCACATAAAATTGTGGCCATTAAAATCACCAAGTAAAAGGAATGGTGTTGGAAGCTGTTCAACCAAGGCATCCAGTTCATTCTCATTGACTGACATCTAGAGGCAAGTATATAGAACAAACTGTGACAGTTACTCCAATTGAAATTTTGACTGCCACAGCTTGCAGCTCTGTTGTTATTTGTACCAGTAAGGATGGAATGTGATTTGAAACCAGGATAGCCATACCGCCACTGGCACGGTTGTGGCTATCATCATCCTTGCGGTAGAGTTTGAATCCTTTTAAAGTAATTCTTTCTCCAGGTTTCAGGTGGGTTTCCTGGAGTGCCATGCAGAGAGACGAGGTAGAAAATGTCAAGTGTTTAATGTCAGAGAAGTTGTTGCGGAAACCACAACAGTTCCATTGAATTATTTTATAATCAATTATGTGTTTGAGGCAGCATTCTTCGTGAAGGTATCCCTCTTTAGTTTTACAGCTGATTTGCCTTTTGGAAGTGAAGTTGTTGGTGTCACCTCCTTATTAGTCTCCTCGTCAGAGAAGTCAGAGAACTCACTCATAGACTGAGCCTCTGATCTCTTAGATTTGGAGACGGCTGCTTTTAATTTTTGTTTGTTGAGCGGGTTCTTAGCAGCCTTCTTAAAAACCACATTTCTTGTTATTACCCCTGTTTTTGGTAGGGGTGTTTTCGCCTTCTTGGTTTCCTTTTCTGATGTTTGGAGTAGTGGGATAATTAGACATTTTGCATGGCGGGTAAGAGATTCACTTGGAGAGATAGAAATACCCATATGTCTTTGTGGACTTCAAGACAGCAGCAAATGTTTTGTCTCAAAGGTGCAGTTGAAGTGACCACACGACGAGCCTCTGGGTAGGGTATGTTGTTGACTGTTTTTACCCATTGTATTTCTTTATCTCTTTGCCATGCAGGGCATTTTCAGGAGTAAAAAAAATGGGCATCTTTGCAGTTAACACAGCATGGGATACTGGTACACTCAGTACTCTCGTGACCTTCAGTCCCACACTGTGCACAAATGCTCTTGCCACGACAGGATGTCTGTGGTTGGTTTGTTAAGGTTTTTTGGCACAAAAGCCATATAGGCTATGCTGCGCCATGCCAAATGGTAAAATTAATAAGGTCATATATACATATATTAAAAATTAATAACAAATAACAATAACAAACATATACAACAGTAACAATAAATAAAAACAAGGTATATAAAAGTATAGATAAATGAATAGGTAAATAAATAAATATTCAAATTTGTTTATAAATATTAGTGACTTTCAGAAAGTCTAGTAAATTATTGACATTTGGCCTTTGGCCAAGGATTTCTGTCAGACAAGCATTTCCGAAATATTGTCTATGCCTTGTCTTGAAAGCAGAGCAATTGCACAGCATGTGTTTTACACTTAGGGTGCAGTTGCAATACTCACATACTGGCTGGTCTTCACCCTTCAAAAGGTATAAATGAGTCAACCGAGTATGCCCAATTCTCAAACGAGTAAAAATTACTTCAAATCTCCTGTCATAATGTTTGTTACGTGTCCAATTTTCTATATTTGGCTTGATCTCGTGTAGTTTATTGTGGATTTGTGCATTCCACATGTTTTGCCATCTCTCAACTAATCATTTTTTAACTACTAGCTTCAAGTCACTTCCTTCGAGACACATTTCATGCTGTGAAGGACTAGCTGCCTTTGCAGCTGCATCAGCTTCTTCGTTCCCTCTTATGCCAACATGCCCAGGTACCCAACAAAATTTTATAGAGAGATTCCTCGTAAAAAGATGGCAAATAAGATTATGAATTTTAATCACTATAGAGTGAGAACTAGGTTCGCACGAGATCAAAGCCTGAAGTGCACTAACAGAGTCAGTGTAAATAACACAGGAACGATGACCTTTCCTATTTACATGCTTTAAGGCTAAATAAATAGCATGCAACTCTGCAGAAAAGATGGAAAAATTCAATGATATTTGTTCTGCCACGATTTCATCCTGGCAGACGAAAGCTGAGCCAACGTAATCATCAGATTTAGATCCATCTGTATAAATAATAATTAAATTCCTGTTACTATGTTGAATTTCTGCAAAGTGCTGTCTATAGACGTAGTCAGGTGTAGATTCCTTAGGAAATTGCTTTAGGCTAAGGTCAACATTTATCACAGGAGTTGACCAAGGTGATATACTACAGACCTCTAGCTGTGAAATGTTGCCTGTATCCAGGTCAATCGTGCTGCTCACATTCTCCATTCTTATGGCAAATAAAGGGACACTACTTGGGCGAGCTTCAAATAATCTTTTATGCTGAGTATCTAATACTGTACAATCAACTGAAGGTTTACTAAAAGACTTTTGTTTTATATAATAAAATAGAGACAACTGTTCTCTCCTAAGAGATAGTGGAGGCTCATAAGCATCCACATACAGACTTTGTACAGGAAAAGTTCGAAAAGCACCAGTGCACAAACATAGTGCTTGATGGTGGATTGGATCCAGCATCCGAAGAGTAGATTCTCGCGCTGACCCATAAACAATGCATCCGTACTCCAGCTTTGAGCGGACAAGGGCCCTATAAATCCTGAGCATAGAACATTTGTCTGCTCCCCAGGATGAGCAGCACAGTACCTTTAAAAGGTTTAAAGATTTTAAACATCTACTCTTCAAATTGTGCAAGTGCGGCAAAAACGTTAGTTTATGGTCAAACAAAAAACCCAAAAATTTTGCCTCAATCCCCATTGAGATTTTGACCCCATTTAAGTAAATTTCAGGATCCAAGTACAACCCACGCCTTCGGCAGAAGTGGTTGCACGAGGTCTTCTCAGTGTTAAAACTAAAACCATTGGTCTTGGACCAATCATATATGCGATTTAGGGAGGTTTGCAGTTGTCTCTCAATGAAACTCATGTTGCTAGACTGGCAAGAGATCTGAAAGTCATCCACATACAAAGAGTGTTTCACACTGGGAGGAAGACAGTTAGCTATGCTATTAATTTTAATTAGGAACAGAGTCACACTCAAAATAGAACCTTGAGGAACACCATCTTCTTGTGTGAAAAGCCTAGATAAAGTGTTGCCCATCTGAACTTGGAATCTTCGATTCTGTAAAAAGTTTTTTATAAAAATTGGCAAATTACCCCGCAATCCGAATTGGTGTAGATCACGGAGTATCCCGTATCGCCAACCTCGATCATAGGCCTTCTCTATGTCAAAAAACACAGACACTAAGTGCTGTCGTCAAACAAACGCTTCGCGTATATATGTTTCAAGGTTTACCAAATTATCAGTGGTACTTCTGTTCCTACGGAAACCACTCTGATGTGGTGAAAAGTATTCCTTTTTCTCTAAGAGATACATTAGATGCCTGTTTACCATTCTCTCGAATAGTTTACAGAGACTACTTGTCAGAGAAATTGGTCTGTAATTAGAGGGATTCTTGTGATCTTTACCAGGTTTGGGAATGGGAATAATGATAGATAGCCTCCAAGAGTCGGGAAAAGTATGTTCTGTCCATATTCTATTAAACAGATTCAGAACATTACAAAGAGAATTGTCTGAAAGATTTTTAATCATGCTGTAGTGGATTTTATCCGGACCTACAGCAGTATTCCCCGAGCGAGAGATTGCTGTATGTAGTTCTATGCTGGTGAATGGCACATTATATTCCTCATTAGATGAGAAGTAAAAATTTAAATAGTGTTTTTCTTTTTGAGCTTTATAAGCTTGGAAATTCTTAGTAAACATTACATTGCTGGATGAAGTAGAAAACGTTTCACCCAACAAACTGGCAATATCCTGTATATCGCTGATTATTGTGCCATTATTTTCCAGCACGGACAGAGATTGGGAAGCATATTTTCCATTAATTTTATGGATTTTATTGCAGACTGCTTTTGAGCTAGTAGATGATGTTATAGCAGAGACATACTTCCTCCAAGAATCCCTTTGGCTTTGCCTTCTAATTCTTCTGTCATTTGCCTTTCCTCTTTTAAAAGCAACCAAATTTCTCGCAGTGGGGTATCTTCTGAAAATACCCCATGCTTTCTTTTGTGCTTTAAATGTTGCCTCGCAATTCTGGTTTCACCATGGTTTCGGATATTTTGGATATCTAGTTGATGTTTTCCCCGCTGCCTGAATAATACTGAAAGTGACAACCTCAACTGCATCATTGATATCAAAAGTATTGACCATTTCCTCAGTGATGTTAGCCAAAGAGGAAAATGAAGGCTAATCTGCCGTTTCCAGTTTCCAGCGCGATGGACGGGCTGTTTCACAGCTTTCTCTGCCTCGATATTTTAAAAATATTGGAAAGTGGTCGCTACAGAGTAGATTAGATCCAACCTCCCATGTAAATGCTAAAAATAGGTTGGGAGTGGCTAATGAAAAATCAATGGCAGTGAAAGTTCTTGTTGGGGCATGGAAGTATGTCACATCTCCAGTATTAAATAAATACATTTGCTGATTGCCTATGAGTTGTTCAATGGCTCTGCCTCGACGATTAATGTCAGGACTGCCCCACATAGGATTGTGGCTATTGAAATCACCCAGTAGAAGGAATGGTGTTGGCAGCTGTTCAACTAAGGCATCCAATTCATCTTCCTTGACTCAGACATCTGGTGGCAAGTATATAAAGCAAACTGTGACAGTTACTCCAATAGAAATTCTGACTGCCACAGCTTGTAAATCAGTGGTTATTTGTACCAGCAAAGATGGGATTCGATTGGAAACCAAAATAGCCACACCGCCACTGGTTCGGTTGTGGCTATCATCATCCTTGCAATAAAGATTGAAACCTTTGAGAGAAATATTTTCTCCAGCTTTTAGATGGGTTTCCTGGAGTGACACACAGAGAGATGAGGTGGATGGTGTCAAGTGTTTAATGTCAGAGAAGTTGTTGCAGAAACCACGACAGTTCCATTGGATTATTTTATAACCCATTATGTGTTTGAAGCAGCATTCTTTGCGAGGGTATCCCTCTTTAATTTAACAGGTGGTTTCTCTTTTGGAGGTGACTTTGGTTTTGAAACCTCCATATAAGGCTCTTCATCAGATATGTCAGATAACTCACTCATAGATTGAGCTTCTGATTTTTTGACTTTAGAGAGGGGTGCTTTCACTCTGTTTGTTAAGTGAATTCTTACTGGCTTTTTTAGAACCCACATTTCTGGTTGTTACTCCCGTTTTAGTTACAGAGGTTTTGGTCTTTGTGTTCTCCCTTTTCTTCTGATTGTGCAGATGGGATCAATAAGCATTTGCATGGCAAGTAAGAGATTCACTTGGGGATACAAAAATATCTGTTTGAACCCCTCATGTCTTAGTGGATTTCAACACACTAGCAAATGTCTTCTGCTGTAATGGTGCACTTGGAGTGACCATGCGACGGGCCTCTGGGTATGATACGTTTTTTACAGTTTTCACCCGAATCTCCTTTTGTCTTTGCCATGCAGGGCATTTCCTGGAACAGGCAGGATGGGCATCTTTACAGTTCACACAGTGTGGTGTACTTTTACATTCAGTACTAACGTGGTCTTCACTCCCACACTGTGCGCATACGCTTTTGCCTCGGCAGGAAGTCTGGGAATGTCCAAATCGCTGGCATTTGAAGCGACGCAGCAGATTTGGAACGTATGGACGGACAGGGCAGCGCAGATATCCTGCCGTAACGAAGGATGGCAATGTTGGATTGTCGAACATGAGAATTAGATGTTTTGTGGGTATCAACTTACCGTCTCGACGAATCGAAATGCGTCGGACAGAAGTGACACCTTGGTCCAACAGGCCAATCTGAATGTCTGATTCGTCTTCAGACATCAAATAAAACTCAGATATCACACCACGTGATGAGTTCAAACTTCTGTGTGGTGTGACTAATATTCCCATGTCTCCAAGAGTCTTCATTGTTGAAAGCTTTGTTGTTTGTTGAGGAGAGGCTGTTTCCACTAGTACGTCCCCTGAACTCAATTTTTGTATCTTTTTTAAATGCCCAATGGTTGATTCAAAAAGCTTCTGAATCAAAAAAGGAGAACACTTAGCGAGGGGTTTTTCTCCAGTTGCGTGCACTATTAAGTAAGCAGGTTGGCTGGGGGTCTTTTCTTTTGTCGTCGATGTTGTTGCTGTGTCAAAATGTTTGGAATTTTTTGGGTCCATGATTAATGTTTAATTATTCGGCTCCTAGTGACCCCACCCACCATGGGGCCCAACAAAGGGATGCCGTCACATGGAAGACTCCCATAGACCATCACACCAGGGTTTCCCAGGAGCTATACCCTCACAATGCAGTCAAGAAGAGCACATCTTGTCTGACATGTCCGCCTGGTCTGCATCGATTGGTTGACTCCAAGCCGAGGTCAAGAATGACTCAACGACCAGCCAATTGACTCAAACGGAGCCTGATTTGAGCCTCCCGTTTATCCGAAGCAGGGGCCAAAGCAGTGTGTTGGGGACGTTATGTTGCCCCTCAACTACCAGGATCCCCCTTTCCGGCATACGGGACATCACGCACGGCAAACACGTGGGTGGGCGTTCAGATCCCAGGGATGGTAA